CAAGTAATTAATTGCCTGTTATATTAAGCTTAGGAGAATCTGTTGGGATGCCAGGATCGATAAAGTGGCACCTACGCCTTTAATAGGTTGGAGTAAACAGGATAGTATACGCAGTTGAAGGTGGAAGGTACACTGAACGATAACGATCCTTGTTTCAACAGGGACCAAAAAACAATAATTCCTCACTAGGTTTCCGAACCTATTTTTTTCAAAAATTAATATGTATATTTTTAAATACTAATAGTAGAGATTTTAACTGAGCCCATAATCATAAAGATGCTTAAAGCGACTGGCCAAAAATAGATGAGTTTAAAAAGTACTGGGAGACAAAATATCAGTATATCAGTTTATATATATATATATATATATATATATATATATATATATATATATATATATATATATATATATATATATATATAAACCTGTGTCACAACTACAACTCCTGTGCTACAACTCATGAAGGATCTTGGGTTCAGTACTATCATGGAAAGCACTGTTTCTTGGTGTACGGTTGTGCAAGGAGGTGATTTGACCGAGATCGTGCTCAACCGCTAGGTTTTCCCTCTTAATCAATTATTTTAATTAAGGGTACCCACTTTATAGAGGCTGGGTGTGCCACAGGAAGGTCTACCTCCAGAGGGTCGCCTCACGGCCAATGAAAATCAGAATAAATAATTTTTCTGCCATGAGCCGTGATTCGTACCTGGGATCTTTAGCATTGGAAGGTTAGTACCCTACCACTGAGCTACCCCACTCCCATATTAATATATATATTATAAAATATATATATTTTTTACTTTAATTTTGTCAAAAAAAAAATGAGTTTATGTTATGATATGATGATGTTCATATTTGGCTTGACTCGAGCTTGTTTTCCTTTCAGCCCTAGAGAAGAAAGAGTACTGATAGCAGGAGGAGCTGTAGAGTTTAGAGTTTATCTAACAACAATATCATTTTGGCCCGACAAGTTGAAAACATCTATCAGTCTGTGCCAAGAATAATAAATAAATAAGATTTACAAATATTTACTTTTTTTTGTTGACAATTTCACTAATGGAGGTGTTGTGGATACATTAAGATAAGAATAATATGAAACCAATGAAATCAACATGAAACCAAATAATATTTACTATATTGTTTATAAGATATAAATAATACATTATAGAATAAGATACGATAAGCGTGACTAGGTAGAATAGGTAGAGAAGGATGTGGCAAACATAGCATTTATGACAAGCATAGGATTATATGACATACAATATGAATTATGAAAGTTTATGTTAATATAAGTAAAATGGACAATGAAGTAAAATTGTCTGTCATTCGAGAACCACTGCTTTCGATTATGGCGACTGATTTATGGAACATATGGCCAGTAACTTGAAGATTGATACGGGGTTAAGAGGAAGACTCATTAAGCAAAAATTGTAGAGCATCGAATTCTGGATCTATTGAGTATCAGCATCTTTAATGCATGTTAATTTCACTTTTGGAATTGGGAATTGCCATTTTTTCATGAATTCAGTCAGGGATGTCCTAAGATCGTTGATGCATGAACCTCCCTACCCCTCCCAAGATATTATATTGCCTCCCTAGATATTGGATCATAAACAATCGCACTTTCTGTGGCTGTTCCCTGTTTTTCACCTTGTTGCCTAGTAGGGAAAAGCTTTTCTTTCCCAAGATTCGCAATCTTCTACAACATTTCATTCTGAACTGTGCCCTTCAAAAATTCAAAATTCCATGAAACCTTCTTCTGGGCAAACCTTAATTCAGTTTCTTTTGACAACCTCATTTATCAAAATCATAAGCCAGATTCTAAACTAGAATAACCAAGTAGAGTCAACACGCATACAGCTGAAATATTGAAAATCATATCTACCTTCTCGACCGATTGCCACCCCATAGAATATCGATTTCAAGAGATTTAATAGACAAACATTAAACTTTTGGTGCTCAGTAGACGCAGAACTTGATGCTCTACTACTTTTATTCTATGAGCTTATTCTCTCAGAGAACTCATTTTCAAGCTTTTGCATTGTGCTTTAATAGTATTTAATATTTATTTATTTTTAACACTTGTTACTCATTTCAGTTTTATGATGAACTTATGTCCTTGAGTTATTAATAATTATATTTCGCTACTTTGAACTTTTGAATTTAATGAATATCTTTGAACTTCTGAAGAATATCTAATAATAAATAGATTTCGATTCGTCAGTTATCTTAGATGGAGAACTTCAGACCCGACTCCTTTAAACGGTGGCTGGCCTACAAAGAGGAAGGCTCAGTTTACAATCTCTCGCCAGCTGCAGGCAACTTGTCCCATCAGCTGTTGTTGATGATAGTGGCTTGTAATCTTCTGTAGCTGATGGTCCAACGGTGTACCCAATCAAATCGTTAATTTTTTTCCCCTATTTTTTCAGTCATTATTTTTTTTAAATTAATTTTTTTTTTTTTATACGTTTATTAAATCATAGTAATCTGAAAAATTATAACTTTTTTTTATAGATTATTAAATCTTGAACTTATTATTTGAAAATGTTTTTAGGAATAATTTTTTGTAAAATAAAAAAAAAAAAAATTTAAACCTTTCATTTTATTATAAATTAAAAAAATTAAAACATATAAGCATGTAGTACATATATTAAAATTTTGTTTATTAGTTTCTGTAAGCTCGAAATAATTATTAATTTTATCATTCTTTTAATCAATACTTCGTTATGAACTTCAGTTTGACAAGAGAATCCATATCTACACTGAAAAGAAAACAATTGAGCAAACGATATGGACTATTAACTAGATTACTCGACAGGCGATCCAAATCATCATTAAATTACAAAGTTATCATGTGCAAATTACTTACATGACCTTTATGGACATACGGGACAGAGTTATACGACAAACGACTTGCTACACAAGGACTTGGTCATCCATACGGTGTCGTATACTGCGACAAAACATTATAAAAACTTCCATCTGAGACTGACTTACACTAGCCCAAACACTTTGCTACACCATGAACCCGTACATCCTTCCCCGACGAATTTGAAGGTGGTGTTCAAGAAATGTTTTAACAGTCCTTATCTGAAAATTTTAAGCTTGCCAAATTTGTATATTTGTTTAAATAAAATAGAAAAACCTTCATGATCATTGCCATTCCTCTCCAATATCCGCTTATGCAGCGTGCGCAAGATGTTTTGTGAAACCTCCTTGGAAAAAAGTTCTTAACATAAAAGTTTTTAAAAAACCTTATAGTGATAAAGTTCTATGTATATTGTAGAAGTTCCATTTTAACAGTTTCTGGGAAACTTTTTAGGAAAAACTATTTCATAATAAAGTTCCAAGTCTGTGGTAAAAGTCTAACTTATAATTATTCCAGTTCTTTTGGTAAAATAGGACTTTGTCTAAAATCTTAAAGCCAAAGAGAAAAAAAAAACTCTGGTTCTTAAAAAAAGTTCCGTTAAATGAAAAATAATCAATAATTGTGCTTAGATTAAAGTTAAAATTTGTGAAGTGTGTTAAAAGAATGTGTCATTCATTTAACACAAATTTTTCTTAGGAAGAATTGGAAGAATTTTTCTTAGAATTAACAAACAAGTTTCTTAGAACTTTTATTCAAAGAACGTTTTTCCTCAAAAATTTTCCAAAAACTGTTAAAATAGACCTTTTTTATAAAAATCCCATAAACAGTAATTGGGATTAGATTAAAGTTAAAATTTGTGTTAAATTAATTACACATAATTCTGATGTTGAACTCTGATGTATAATGTTTTCAATCGTTCCTTAACTGATTAAAAATAAAAGTTGAATATAAAATTATTTATATATATAAAATCTATGTATATTCTTCGTGGGCACTGATGCTTTCAGTTTATAATATGGATTATTTGAATTCAAAATAAATCGATTAATTCGATTCAAAATGTATCAATTAGTATTTTAATTTGCTAATTACTGACATTTTTTTACTTTAAAAGGCATATTTTTCCTTTGAAGTCAGCAGCTTACGTTGCAATAAGAATTTTTAAAAAAATCGTCATTTACTTTTTTATTTCAGTCACGTGTAGCCTTTTCAGCTTAATAATCGTCTCGATCAGGTTAGTTATAGTCGCGTGTGCAATATTTTGACCCCATTTCGCTCTGGTTTTTCTACTGATTTGGGTTTGATGGCACTTTTTTTATTTAACTTTCTTTTTTTTTTTTTTTTACCTTGCGTCTAGCAGCCCAGTAAATTTCACCTTCTGTCCTGGCTTTGTTTCTAATGTTCTGTAGTCCGGGAAAAGTCATTAGATGCAGAGCAGTCATGAATCCTTGTTGACATGTTGCTCATTCTCCAATACGGTTTAGATGGCTTTGGAGATAGTCATGTCCAGTTTTCATCCTGAACTGTGCAACGCCCTCACTTCTAGGGAGATCCACTGGCACTCTTCCATTTTCTTCAAGTAAAGAAGCCCATTGATTCTCCTTAAACTCCAACTACCGCTTCTGTTCCAGTTCTCCAATGATTACTGTTTTGATTAGCTTCTTTGCCGTCAAGAAAGGGATCGGCAGATCTGGCTGACCTTTTTCGGCACCTTATTTTGCTAATCGGTCAGCATTTTCATTACCTGTCAAAGTGTCCTGGTATCCACTGTAGAACGACATCTGTGCCTTCTAAAATCAGCTTCTCAATCAATTCCTGGCACATACTAATTTGATTTGTGGAACAGTTGGAAGGATCTGAAATGGCAATTATTACAGCCTGTGAGTCAATGAGCACCACAAGTTTTTGCGGTTTAGACTTTTTATATCAGTTCTAACGCTGTGAAAACTGTTTTTACTTCACTGACAAAGTTACTTGCTAGCTTTCCCACAGGCTCTGACATTTGGAAACGTTCTGCATAGCTTTTCGGAAATATTATATTTTGTATTACATCCAATTTCAGAGATATTATAAAATATTTAATTAAATTATGCAAACGATATCTTTGACTTGATTATAAAATCAGTTAGATTTACCTGAGCATAGGCTTCATAGAAAGAGGGGGAGGTAGCTGATGTGAGTCACGTACAACGATCCCAGGTATCGGATTGCTTGACCCTCGTTTTGCTTCTGCTCTCTGCTGAATAGCAAATCCGGATAAAAGAGAATCCTCAACCATGACGGAATGTAGTTTCTTCTCTTCCTAAAGTAGAACTTATCGCAGAACTTTAGAGCTTAAAATACTTTGAAACATTCAAAAATTTCCGAACAGATGATACTAAAATTTAACTTAATCGCAGAACATTTTAGAAGAGTTAAATAATTTTCTAATCAATTATAACATTTAATAAGTGGTTACGACCCACAGACATTTCTATATTTTTTTTTGTGATTCATAAAAAAAACTAGACACTTGTCAATGCTTTCGTTTAAATGAGAGCCAAGAAAAAAAATATGTAGAGATGGGTATATACTTGTTATTGAATGATTTTTTTAAAAACTTATTTATTGAGAAATACTACAATCTGTCTCAATCAATGACATTTATAATATGAGAAGGAGTTGGTCGGGGGGTGGGGTAAAATTAATACTATATTAAACAAGTAGAATTATTTAATTTTTTCCGACGTTTCGACCCACTTTGCAGGCGTTCATCAGGGCGTAGGATGTAGCAATGCGGGAGGTAGTTGAAACACTGCAACATAATAGTAACATTTATAATAGTGTTCAGAGAGCGCATTCACACTCTAGTTACAATAAGTAAAAATGAATTAAACAGCGAAATAATAACAATAAAAGTAAATGTATATAACCGAAAAGAAGCTAAACTAATCAAAATAACAAGATAAATACATTTACATACAATATTCTCCAATTGAACGAATTTGTAGGGATGAAAAATGGTTAAAATGTGCAGTCAAAAAAATTATGTTTATTCTGTTGCTGAAACTTCGGCATTTTTCTTCCTTAAAAATTTTGTTTTTCATAGTCTTTTTACTTTGATTATTTTGCATCTAAAAATACATATCCGTATGTCCTGTAGGTTTTTGTTTATTGTTTCTAAAAACGTTTAAGCGATTTTAATAAGCTTAGGCGAAAAATAAATTTTAAAAACTTTCCAGTCGCTTCCAGTAGAGTAAGTGAATTATTATTTTATTTTTTTAGAATGGAACAAATTCATATTTTTCTTCACTAGCATTGGCCTATTTGGAGAAACTATACTATAGCATTGATTTTAGAATATTTTTAATTATAAATTTAATAAAGGATGTGGAAACCGTTAACTTTTTCTCAAGTTATGAAATTTATTTTAAATGGTGGTTAAGTGGTCAGTATTCTATTATATCCCAAAATCGAAGAATTTAATTGAAAAAGAAATGTTTGTTCATATTTGAATGTCGTTAACGAATCCTACAATTAACAGTAGACTAAAATGACCTATGAAGCTTCCAAACTTCGAAAGACTTCTGAATAATATTCATGTGAATTTAAATATTTTTATAACTCAAAAATGGCGGAGGTTGGTTAGACTGAATCACTAAATCCAATTTGTATAGCGCACCCACCATTTATCAGTTAGTAACGTTTAATACTTTTTTTTAATATTCGTCTTTTCAAAGATTGATACATTTTTTTTTTGTATACCCACGATTCTCTAATGGTGAGGCATCTTGTTTTTAAAAATATTTTTATGAAAACAAAGAATAGTGATAATTTAAGAAAAAAAGTTATTTACTTTATTTTTAAAATACATTAACATACCTAGTATTTATGAACATATATAAAAATATACGTTATTTCAAATTAAAGAATTAATTCTGATAATTCTTATCTCTTTTTCTAAAACATTGGAATTGGGAATTTAATAGGAAAAGCACGTTTTATAAAAAAAAAAATGTTTTATAAAAAATACCAGACAATGTTTCTTCCTGGAGGCAACAAAAATAAATAAAATTATATAACAAAGGCGATCATGAACTTGACAACATTCAAAAGGATCTGTTTATTGTCGGTTTTAAATACATTTCAATGGTCTTTTTATTTTTCTACTACCTTTTATATTTATCGACTTTATTTAAGCTACGATTTGAGCACTCTCTTAAAATTCAATGGATAAACCAAAAACATTTCATCTCAGTTTACAAAAAAAAAACTCTAACATCTCAACAATCATATAAGATTTCCCAGTGACATTTTAGCATATTGCTATTGTTAGTGCAAAAAGTCGTATGTAAAAATTTAGTTTCTGTACTGAACAACATCATAAATACCTATTATTTCTTTATAATTTATTAGTATAACTTCATATTTTATTTCCCTCTGATGTTTGCCTCTTTCGCAGACTACTTATAGCAATTGCACTAATGTCACTTTTAGCGCAAAGATAATAAACATGTAAAAAAATTACATTCGTTCTTTTGCACTAACAGTAGTGGTATGTGATATTTTGTGCAATATTTGCAAATTTATCAGCTTTCCTTAAAAGGACTTAGACGTTGTTAGAGAACTCTTCTCCCTGAAACACAACTTTTCCATAAAAGAAGCAGAGTTGACCGCAGTTGGGTGAAACCGAATTACCCCTTTTCCCTTCCCCATGGGCTAAAGGTCAAGCAAGCTCCAGTATTCAGAAATAGTGATGAAGTTGCTAAAGTATGAAACACTATTCCCTTTGAATATTACATTTTTTATTTTCTTTATAAATTATATGATTGAATGGTTCAATATATTTTACAATGCTGTATTTATGGGCAACAATCAAAAAAGTATATCACCAAAGTTTTCTCACTGTCCTATTTTTTATGAGTTAATTAATCACTTACAATATTTTATTGTAAATAAAACGTGAAACCCTAGCTTACCTGTGTCGGGCACCAGGTGACAAGAACAGCTGTTCCACAGCTGATTCTGCCCATTGTCAAAATGGCTGGATACCTGTTGAAAAGGCCATTTTTGTTAAAGAATTATTCCGAACGAACATAATTCAGCAAACTTTACGTTGAATGCAATATTGTAATATTTAAAAATAACGATATTAAAACTTAGAACTCAACAATTACTTCCTAATTTCGAAAAAAAATTTAAATGCGTACTGACCCTATATCTAGCTAAAAAAAATTAATATATATATATATATACATACATATATATACAATAAATATTGTATATATATAACCTTGAAGGGTTTGGGATTTAGTAGTTTTTAAGTAAGTACTGTTTCTTGATCCACGATTGTGTAAGGAGGTAATTTGAGCACAAAGACGTGCAATACTATTTTATCATTTTTATTAAAGAATACTTCTGAAATACCATTATTACACATAGTTAACAATAAATATAATAGCGTAGCATTTAAAATAAGAACGTGAACACTTGATGATTTTCTGAATGCTTAAATATACCAATTCTACGGTATAGCAAAAATTGTAAAAAATATTGATTATAAAAAATCCAAATAATTGTGTGTTAAAAGTTCAGTACTTTTTAAGTTTTTAGCAAGGGTTGTTTAATTTTTCTTTAAAAAAAAAAACGTAAATAAAGACCATCTTTTTTTTATCGCTCCTATCTTGCCTCTTCACCCATACGAGGTTTTTCTCGGGACATGGAGAGGGCAGGAGATTAATCCCAGAGTTAAAAGTCCTCTCGAAAACGGGATTTGAACTCTTTATCTTTGGTTTATCAAGTTACCGGACACACGCGTTAACCAGCTCGACCATTTCACCCCAAAATTTGACCGAGAACATGCTCAACAGTCTTGTTTTTCTTCTTAATTAAATATGTAATCAAGAGAGTACCTATTTTGTAGAGGAAGGGTGTGGCCGAGTGTCCCGACCCTAGGATCGACCCACGACTGATAAAGTAAATTACCTACTACTCCCAAGTGCGAAATCTGAATCTAGAGGATAGGAGCATAAGGCCTTACTCACTAAGCTAGTACGCTCCCTTTTGTTGAAAAGAAATATATCTGTTGACCTACTTTATTGCTATGGACCAAAAATAAGAATTAAATATCCTAAAACTTAAAAAGAGGAAAGGAATTATTTATTCATGCTCTTCCGTCAGAATAAATTATATTTTCTCCCATAATCACCCCTTGAATAACCTTTAAAGCTGAAAGCTTTATAAAATATAGAATAAAGTAGAAGAATCTTTTGATTTTTGTTATATTTTGTACTGAAAATATTATTTTGCATTGATGAACAGCAATAACAATAAGATAATTTGTTATAAGATAATCCTGAGATATGCTCGGATAGTTCCTATATACAGAACTCCTTTCCGGACTTAATACAGGGAGGAAACGTAAGTCTCGAAAGATCCTTTTTAGTAACTTTTTTCCTCAATTTGATTAGTCTGTAAGTGTGTTGATTCTTGTTTCTTGCTTTGTTTATTCAATTTCAACCCATTATTTATTAAATTTCACTCACTATGTATTTAATCATTCTACTCGTCTCCAGTAATTCTATTTCTTTTTCTTTAATTTTATTTAAAATAATTCTTCATTTAATTAAAAAAATTAATTAATTGAATTTAATATAAATTTATATATTAAAATTTTATCAAATCTTCACTAATTTTCAGATAAAATCATTATTATTCTTGAGATGTATATATCTTGTCTGGGTATATATTAGTATTATTATTTTGTTTCACACTTTACATGGCTGTTAGTAATAATTGGGGACCGAATCCGTCAACCAAATATTACATTCATATATTTTCAAAATTATTTCATATTTGTAAATTTACGAACAATACTGCCATTTGCATTTTTTCCATTGTCACAAAAGGCAAGTCCAGCTCACGCAAAGAAGATTGAGATTCTTCTGGTATTAATCCACTACATGAAATTACTAATGGTAAAATCCGACTTTCCTTCAAATCATAGTTTTAATTCTTCTGCCAATTCTACATATTTTCTTTTTTTTCCGCCACTACTTTGTGCAGATTATCATCTGAAGGAACTCCACTTTCTATAATGGACGCTATTCTCTTTTCTTTGACGATTATTAGAATGTCAGGCCTATTATGTGGGACAGTGTGATCTGTAAGTATAGGGTGATCCCAGAATAGTTTGACATTACGCTTGGAGATGATTGATTCAGGCTGATATTTGTAATACGGAATATTATTATTATTATTATTATTACTTTGCACTATCCGAAATCTTAACTCGAAATCTTTTTCTATCCATAAAGTGAACAATTAAATTCAACTATTTAATCGTATGTGACAAGGCGGGATTTGAATGACATTCGTTCAGCTCATATATTGTTCCAGCAAATATGTCACTTCTCACTTGGACCATGAGCCCAACCAGGCAATGCTAATATTATCCTTGCGTTAATTAATATCGATTCTGCCTGTATAACCTGAGATAGCCATATGTTGTTTGAACAACTTGATTCTAAATTCGATGAGTTAAGAAACTTTGATATATCCTTTTATTATATATTGAAATTCAATGCATTAAGTAGATATCTATAATTAGTATGACCACACGTGTCAATTGAATCCTGGCTAAAATGATTTGTCATGTATTTCAGTGAATTACGACATATAAAATTTACACTTCGACGAGACACGTACACATCACTTTATATCAGCCAGAAAGAAATTCGTCAAGTGGACACAGTATCTTAGACTGATATTCGACAGAAGAATGGCCTGTGATCTACACGTCAAGATGAAAATAACTACTTTAAACTAAAGACTAAAATACTATACTCATTTTCTTCCCAAATAAAAAATGAAAATCAGCAAAAACTATTTGTAAATACATACACATCTATTAAAAGCCATATTTACATACAGACTTATAAAGGTAAGCCCACGGCTGACATGCCCAACAGGAGGCGACTGGAAAGGATCTAGATGAGAGACCTCATCTCCTGAATTAAGGAAGCAAAGTCCAGGAAGCGATACTTTGATCTCGGTAATTGGTAAGAACCAAATATCACCCACAGATCTGGTAATTGTATTTTGGGCTTGTTAGTGTGAAACTTGGAGTGGACTGTACATGGATTGAATATTTGATGTTAACTGAAATTATTTTATTTTAAAAACCAATATGAATAGATTAAATAATTTTTTTCCAAATTTCAATTTTTTTACTGGATTGCTTCACTTGCCACTGTAAGATCGTCTTCTGATTTAATATATCAGATAACCCCATAAGTAATGCCATATAATTGGGTCATATAAGGGGTGGGATAAAATCAATGAAATATGTGTGTACAATATTGGGAGGATTTATAAAAATGTGATATATAAAAATAAATGTTCTGTGGAGGAATACTTGTGAATAAATAATCTTGTTGTATAATAGTTTCCCATCTTGAAACCAATTTTGAACACCTTTCCTGAAAAAATATCCTCTTGTCTTTCAATTTTTCTTTTGCAATTAGGGGCCTCGCATTGCGATGGTAGAATAAATTGTCCCGTCTGTTGATAAGTGATGGATTTGTTTTGCCCGCTACGACAGATCCAACTGTAGAGATCTTTAGTGATAGTTTCATTAAGATCAAGGATTTCGTGGTAAAGGATTCCATGCATAATCCATCAAACAGACATCAGTGCTTTTTTTCGGAAGGCTTTCTCTCGCTTCTGTTCTCGGTCTTTCTCTAGGACTTAGCCACTGTCGTTCACTGATGATAGTTTAATGTTCAAACCCACATCTCGTCAGAAATATCTTAAATTGTTAAAAGCATAGACATCATCATTTCATAAAAACTGCGGGTTTTTTTAACACAAGAAATCAATTGTTATATAATTATAATTTAAACTATTTATAGTTATAGTGTTATTGGGGCTGAGGAAAAAATTACTATAATTAATTTAAAGTAAAAAAAAATATATTCCAAAAACTATATTGTTAATAATAAATATAACTCTCACATATAAAACAAAGAGACACCCAGGAAACAATTCCCCTTTGTCAATATCTGAACGGCTCGAGAGAATGTAAAAGGTTTTAATTTATAAAACCAATCAACGGCCATTGATTTTACCGGACCAACTACAAAGTGACATCAATGTCTTATGTTTCATCACCGAGCTCGCCAATATAGCTTTTTTTTAATCCTGTAAAACCTAATAATACAGCTTTTACATCGCTACATTTTAAAAAAGATTAATTTATCAAAAACTAATTATGTTTCTATTGTTTTAATATCGCCTTGCAGTAGCGGCTCCAAGATTTAATTTTGGGGTGCTTTAGATTTTTTTTAATTTATATAACGATAATTACTTTGGAGGAAATCGAAAGAAACTAAGTACCTATATTAAATGGTGTTTAAGTGATTCTTGAAATCCTAATAATTGCAATTACTCGATTTTTTTTTTTTTTTTTTTTTTTTTTTTTTCCTTCCCTTTCTCGCGTTTAAGACTATACGGCCAGGGAGTGAGGGCGGGTATTTAAAAGATCCCAGTAGATCCGCCTGTGTCGCCTGGTATAGAGTGTTTTGGCAGGTCATTGTTAAAATGCTTATTATTGATTCCGCTCTTCGTAGAGAGGATGTACCAAAAGTAACCAATATTAAGCGTCTTATTTGATTATCAATGGTTGACAAAAAGGAAAAAATTCTTTATGCTAATTATATAATATTATTTTATATTGGCCCAATAGTAACATTTTCCAGTCATTTGGTAACGGAAAGTAGTCGATCCAGGAAAAAATTTCTGAAGATTTTTTTCTCGACGGCTCTATACATGTTTTGGGGTGCTGAATCTGAAAATCGTGTTAGAGACTAGATTTGGATATGGCTTCACCATAAAAATGGCAAAATAAACATAACATTTCGAAATTTGTTTCCATAACTCCAAAATGACGCTATCTGTATATCAGAAAGAAAGCTGATAATATTTATTGAAAAAAACTATAACCAGCTGACTGACGATTTTTCGACTGACGATTGACTACGTCAAAAACATCA